TACACAGTTACACAAAGCAGTGAGGTGGATGTACTCAAGGCAAAAGACAAAAACCACAGTGCAAATCTCCTTCTCCCCTACATAAAATTTCTAAGTTGAGATTTGAGAGGCATCTTGATTCTGTCCACCTTACTCATTCCAAGTAGCACCTGACTTTAAAGCTGTCTTTTCGGACTTAGTTTGTAAGTTATTAGGGTTACAACATACACCAGAGTCTTAATTACAACTTTTAAAGCTACCTCTGCTTTTGGTGGTGGTTGATTCATGTTTATTTCCCTGCACAGAAACCTTAAGCAAAATACTGCTACAGTATAATCTTTACCTTTAAAAGGGTCTGTGTGTTAAAAGCCTTTCAGCTGCCATGTGAGAATGTTCTAGAAGGGCAAGACAAGATGAGCTCATGCAAAATGAAATCTCAGCAACTAAACTGCAGTGAAATCAGGTGCCTGCAAGTCTGGCACATGAAACATGCTCAAGACTGTAAAGCAGATAAAGCCTCAACGTAAGTGAACCAGTTTATACCCAGTGCCGAAACATGTAGAAGACAGCCTCCAGAAATGTTGACACTAGAGGTCAGTATCAGGTTATTGCAGGAAAAACTCCAGTAGAAAGCTACAGCTATCATAACTTTTGATGAGTAACACCTAAAGTCCTATTCTTGTCTATATAAAGCAACATTTAAAGATTGAGTTTTAGAAACATGTAAAATCTTACATATACATGGGGTTTGATAAGTTTTAATTCCAGTAATATACTATATTCTTCTGCATGTTTGAATAATCTTTATTATCATGCAAATGCATACCTCATCAATCAATGGCATGTTAAGAAAATAATGTTGTCATCAAGCAACATGTTACATAATAAAAAATACCTTGAAATAAAGCAAGGTAAGATCAAATAAAAGAATGTGAAGAAGGGCAAAATAGAGACTTGGACACCACACAAAAAATTTCCATAAAAGTCTAAGTAGGCTCCTGTTGCATCTGTTTTTGTTTACTGTCACTGAAAGATAATCTAATAATAAAACTGAAAAGTTTAAAAGATGTGTGATTCAAGATTTGGCTAAGCAATTGTGTACTTCTGTCAGAACCAGGAAAACAGGTAAAAATACAGTTATAAAAGCTCAGCAGATAGAGTACTGCTGATACCAAATGAGACCAGTCTACTGGTATCTAAGTAGTTACTGCTGAACAAAGCTGTCCAAAGAAGGGGAAACAGCACATACATTTATCCTCCCCTGGGATACAATACATGGGACAGTTTTCAACATTTTACTCAGTTATACATTAAGCCTGGAAACAAGACCAGGATGGTAAGAATTCCAAAATTACTCATTGGACAAGGCAACAGAATAGGAGATGCACTTCTAAGTGGCTAAGACACCATCTTTTACATTTAACCACTTTAAATATTTTAAGGGCAGGGCAATGACTGTATCCCAAGGGCAACCAGATTCAAAGAAACAGCAACATAATAAAAGAAGACTTAAGATATCTGCACTACAGTGCAAATTTTGAGGGTTCAAACTGTGAATATCGCAAGTATATTCTACAATAATGTCATTATTTTGTGATTTAAAACTTACCATGATTGACGGCTAACACTTTCCGACTGTTCATCTTTACAAAGTTTCCAAGTGGGAGCTGTGCATGACCAATTCCCTGTTCTACAGCTTTTTTGTAAGTAATTCCCTATGGGAAAGACACCAAAACAACAGGACTGAGAATAACCATTTCAGATCAGCCTACACAGATTACTACAAGTATCATATTCTGGGAAGAGTCTTGTCAGTGCTGCCACAATCTTGCTTTAGAATGTATTTACAAAAAAGAAACTTACCCTGGTTAGACAATACCTGCTTCAAGGGCTACCTTAGGAAAACTTACTACTTTGAATATATGTCACACTGTGATGTAAGGCCAAAAGGATCATAAATAAAACTTGTCCATGCAGCTGCAGCTCTAGAATGTGACAGCCAGAGCCCATTTTAAAGGCAAACAAGTTACTCAGACTGCAGTAACTGGGTGTTTTTAGAGAGGAAGACTAAAGGATAAAGAAACTTTGTTTGCTTTTTTAAACCTGGCAACTCCTGTGCCCAAGATGTGAAAAAAACCCAAACAAAACAACTTTAAAATTGTGTAAATACTTTATACAATAATGACTACATAAAGGATCTGCTTTAGCTCCTCCTAGTCTTTTAACTGTGGACTAACTGCTGAAGCATAATTTGGTAAGGCTTAAGATCATTCCCTTTTTTTTAGCATCACACTGAAATATTAAACATGTCACCAGAAATTACACAGGAGAGTCTTTGAAGAAAAGCAGTTAACAGTGCTTTAATTTCTCAGCTGCATTCTCTATGACATTCCAGGTCCACACAGCACGATCCCATGTACAGGTATGGAACCAGACCCCTGAGGCATGTGTGTTACATAGCCAAGTTGTCCTGACAAGCAAACTTATTAAAAAAGGACATCCAAGATTAAAGTGCTGTTCTTCATCTATATTTGGGCACATGCACATACAAGTGCACGTGCGCACACATACACACAAGTGCATGAACAGAAACCAAACCCTTCTGCCTGAAAATATGGCTCTCAGTAAGCTGAGCAGTGTTATTAATTCCATTCCTATGCTTAAAATGAAAAGATAAAATCTTAAGAAGGTCAGCATGTCTGTGCTCTGGAACACAAACCGCTGCTACCACCACAAGTGTTTTTTTCCCCCATTTCCTTCAAAATTTTTTTGAGGTAAGTCTTTTTTGAAGATGTTTTCTTGTTATTTATTTTTGTTAGTTTACACACAAGCAGAATTAATGTCAAATAAGGTGCCAAAACATAAAAGCAAGAGCTGCAAAGAAACAGACCACCAGTTTACCTTGTGGTGATTGTGATCCACCAGTCCTCCAATCACGTAGGCTTTCTTCTCATCAAGCTCACCAAGAACAGCCGGGGAATCTGAGGTAAGATATACTAGGTCTTCTTTCTTTATTAGCTCACTATAGTGTTCTGTTCTAATTTGGATATCCTCAAAAAAACGTAGTTAAAAGAAGTTACATTCAACTGATGAATTGCTGGGCAAGCTTTACAGACCCAGGATGGTACCAGAGAAAATAAATCCAATAGCATGCAGTCATTCCACATCCTTCGTGCATGTTTAAGTATGTAGCACAGTGCAGATTGAATTCTGCTAAATAACCCATAGTCCCTACAGCATTGACTTGTAAAAATCATCAGGAAATTTTCTGAAACCTCAAAAGAACTTTACAAGAAGTTACTTGTTACTTAAGTTTACTTTAAGTTCTTGTGATTCCCTTCAAATGTTACCATATTTGTCCTAGGGATGCAAATAATTTTCAAGTCCACCTTTCTAAAAAAAGTGAAACCAGAAGTAAATGGTTAGTTAACATTACTCATTTGATAAAAGAGGTTTATGCTATGCTTTTGCAAAGCAGCTATTGCACAAGACATGCTGAAAGTAGAACTGTTTTTATTTCCACAAAGTGCTCTTCATTTGAAGTTGCTGGAATACTAGTTTAACAGGGAGTCGCAAGGAAAACCAACATGAGTTTGACCATAAGACAAGCTACTTCTCTAAAGAACACTTCAGTGTCAAGAGGCAACATAATGGAAGTGAAGGTGCACACAAGAGAAACACATCATGACTTCAAAGTCTTATTTTTCACCAAGAAAAAGAGAGCACTGTCAAGACAGATGACTGTCAGAACTGCCTAAACCAAGTAGTCTTGCTTAGTCTATCATAGAATGGAATCTGTTCAATAAAAACAGGTGAAAGCAGATACGTGCAGAGTTTTTCAAGCAAAAATTAAATCTAGATTCAAGACAAGCAGTCCTTGGCTCATTTAAGTTAAATTAATTAAAAGCACAAAGAGCCACACTATTTCTCATACGCTGTTGCTCTGATGTCTTAGAAAAACCCATGTGGAAAAAGCACAGGTCATTCACAACTAACAACCTAGTTAGCAACTATAATCAAGACTTCTTTTTCTCTTTTTACAGAAATAGTCAATTATTCACCTTCCAGTTCACCCATCCTTTGTCATTTTCATTCATGTTGCTCTTCAACTGTCCCCCATGGCTGGTCAAGTAAAACTTTGAAAAGAACAAACAAGACGTACAAAATACTGAAACATTAATGTGCCAATATGTTTCCTCTCTGTATAAGACTTTTTCTACCTTTAACTATTAGCTAAAACTCTTAATTAATTTTTACCTGAAAGTGGTAATAAGACCATATCCATATAGTTAATGACATATTTGAAAGACAAATATGCATGTAGAGTAAACTTTTTTTTTTTCAATCTATCACAGATAAAACCAACTATCAACAATATTTTAGTGGCATGCTAGTATCTGGCACTCTTCATCCCCATGCACATATATACAGGGACTTTTGTAAGACATGGGTTGAAAATCAATCTATTACAATAGAAGTAATTTTCTTATTAAAAAGAAACAGCTTAAATATTTTTTTTTTCTACTACAGTTCTCACCACTTGGAACGCAGCTGCCTTTCTCATATGCTTGTACACAGCAATACAGTCAGTGCTCAGTTTGTTTAAACATACCTGCACAGGATGAAATGCTTTGCGGTTTTCTGCATAACATCTCTGAATTTGCTTGTGAAGCTTCTTAACATCCTGCATACAACACAATTTGTTTTTACATAGTCCTTCAGACAGATCACCACAAAATGCTTTACCATGAGCCACTCAGAAGCTAAAGAGAGAAAAAGGAAGCTTTCAACTGGCAAAAGTGACTACTTAGTGAGTGTGGACATCAGACCTTGAGAGAAAAAACAGCCATTGTTTGAGCTATTGCCTCAAAAACAGCATAATCCCTTTTATGCTGACAAGGAAACACACACATCTTCCACAAAACTGTATTTAGACACCTCTATGCATGTGCTTGATTTGCATTATTCTAGGAAACAAACAAACAAACAAAAATCACTGCGATTTCATAATATGTAATAACATACTCTCAATTAACCTGAGGAATCAAGCAGATTTATCACTGTGACAATACTCAGTCTTTCACCCATGGGAAAACCCTGATAATATACAGTTTATATTCAGAAAATTGAATATGCATAATTAACCTGAAGAAGCCCAGAACAATGCAGATAATTTAGTGGCTGGCTCCAGCATTTTGACCCGATAATTTGAACAACAGTTAATTAGTACTACTTAAAAGGCAGCAGACTTAATTTTTAGCCAACTGTGTTTTTCGGAAGGTACATTACATAGCTTTACTCTTAGTGCCCCAAAAGCAGTGTTTTGTAAATATAACTGATTCCCATTTTAAAAAGAAACATTATATTGCTTTGATTCATGTAGTGCTTTGAGAATGTCCTGTTATCTCCAAAGGATTTGAAGGAAACTAAACTTTATCACTACAATATTGCAGTGCAAGTTTTTACAGACACTAGAGAAAGTGGCTAATGAAACCCATTGCTAAAGGCCACAACCATCTTCACTTACAACACTTCACCCTTCTTAAACACCTGCAGAAGTGCCAGTTTTTATATTAGGCCTAACAGGGGCTCTGCCTGACCCAAGGAAATGAAACTTGTTTTACAACGGAGGAAGCTCAACAGGAGGAAACACTCAGCCAGCATCTACGAAAGTATCAAGGGGGTCCTCTGGTCTCTTCTGGGGCACTTCTGAGGGGTCATCAGGGAACCAAATTCCAAAATGCCAACTGGAACCTCCCCAAAATTTTGCGGTGAGCAGGATTAGCCTCCCATTACTGCTACACATGCTCTGCATTACACTCAACAAATAGGCACACGAGCTCTGCAAAAGCTTGAATTCAAGCAGTCTTGCAGGGCAATGAAGTCCCTGGCATCAGCAGAAGGGCTCAGGATAACAGGGAGGGGAAAGGTCTGCCTCAGAAACCAAAGGCTGCACTCTTACAGAGGCTGCAGATTAACATACTTTCCTCACAGAGTTAAAGCTGTTTTGATCTTAAACACTACACCAAGCATCTTGACCACTGGTTGGGTATCATGCTGATCTTTCTCATGTTTACCTATCCTGCAATCATCTCACCCATTCTTTCACTCATTCTAAAATTTTAGATACTGGCTGAGTAGTGTCCTCCTGCTCCAACTGCCTCTCGTGTGACTGAAAGAAAAAGCTCAGTAGTCTCATAATGCTCAAAATTCTCATTTCCACAGATACTAAGATAGTTGGGAGCCTTAGGTCCACTTTGAAAGAGAAAGTAACTCGATGGGGCATTCGTAGCCCCCTCTAGCAAAACCACTGAGGCAGAACGGCATCTAACTTCATGGTGAACACGTGGCACAAACTGTTTATATATTCCTGTTCTTGGAATCAAACCACCTTACTGCATCTCCCTGAAGGCAAACAAAATCTTTGGCAAACTTACATTAAGGTACATTCCAAACCCTAAAAAATTCAGCAACTGGGAGTCATCACAGTCTGAAACATGCTATCTGTCCTCTGCAAGACGCTCTCCAGTTTTTGTTCTCTGAGACTGCATCAACACTGTCACTGAAGAACCTTTCAACATTTGTATGTGATAGGCAAGTTTCTTTTACCTTTAGCACCATCAGGTCATCAAAGCTGCAGTCCACAATGAGGCGAAGTGTACTAGGAACTACTTCCCTTCGCATCCGCTTTCTGTCATTCCCTTCGTGATTGGAGTCCAATTTTGACTGACGTTCTAGTTTTCTCTTCTGGCGTTTTTCTTTTCGTTTCTGCCTAAAAAACCAACCAAACAAATAAATCTTCAAAAAGCACTGCCAAATCTGCTGAGGGACGTTATGCACATAAATGCACACTTCTATGATCAAGGTGGTTGTCCCGTGACTGCAGTAGTTTAAACTCATCCTGTTGCTTGCATTTGTCCTAGGCTGACAACCAGCATGAAACACATACCCCATCTTTGTGAAGTTCTGTATATACCTAAAAAGACAGACATCTGACCTAAATTCAGTTAAGTTAATAGTGGGAGTCTCATGGATTTAAGAGGGCTCTGAGCCAGGTCTTGTAACAAAAACAACCAAAAAGACTGCCAAAATTGCAGCATGAAAATTAGAATGTGGAAAGCAATTTACCCCATTTCACTGGACATTTTTTCAAAAGGGTTCTGAAGCAATTGTTTCTTCCCCCTGTTCCCCGGATGGGAGTTGGTAGATCAGATTTCGGAGACAGCAACTTTAACGGCCACTGTCTCAGGAAGAAAAACTTTGCACTCAGCAGGGCAAGGATAAACCACCATCAGCCCATTTGCAGACACACTTTATCTCAACAACAGAATACAGAAGCTCATCTTCCAAAACTATTTTAACAGATTATAAGTTAACATAACTTAAAGCAAGGCATTTCATGTGTCAAAAGACAATTTTTTTATCCACTGTCTGTGTAAGAGTCATCAAGCCTGACAGTACCGTGGAAAGTGGGCACAGCCCATTCAGAAAGGAACAAGGCCACACGTTATTTCTCACTTCTAACAAACCAAATCATGCAAGTTTGAATCTCTCCTGATACCCTCTTCAAGTCGAAGAGCACTTCTAGTGTGAAGAAAGAATGCTTACCTTTATAGCTTCTTCATATGCAGGTGGGAATAGCCTGTGACTACTGCTTTAAACCTGGCATGGGAGAAAACTGGTTCAACTGTCTTGATTTGCTAAAGCAATCTACATGCAAATTCTGCTGATTAGCACTAAATACTACACACGATCCTAGGAAAGCTATTCTGCAAACCATACCTCCGTAGATCTTTCTGTTCTTCCCACTGTTTCTGCTTCAATAGCTTCTTCCTTTGCCTCTTGGACATGGGCTCAAGGCATTCTTCCTCATCTGAGCCTGCCTCCTGTCTCTCTACTGGATTGTCACTTGACTTCACCTTTCCTTCCACATCAGGAACTTCAAGGGACATGGTATTTTCCGCTGGCACCTCTGGACTTTCTGCTGGCGTTTCTGATGACATTAGCTTTTGGCTGGGTTTACTGACTTGTTTCTCAACGCATGATAAATATTTCATTAAAAGCAAGCTTTTCCCTCACTAGTTCTGTATGAAACAAAACAACAGCATGAGTGTTATTAACAGGAAGCTCAATTAGAACAAGTATCACTCTATACCTGCCATAAACCTGAATAAAGAAAAATAAAGAAGAGATGGCCTTTTTTTTGTTTAAAGCCAGGTTAGTGCCTCTGCAAACATATAAAATACTAGAGAGATTATAAACTGTATTCATATCATGTCTAAAACTCTGCCTGCTACATCTGCAGCTATTCAACAGTTTCCAGTTAACAACTTTGTAAAAACAGAACTGCATACAAGCAGGGAATCATACAGGATTATACACAAAAGTAAAAACATTACCAGTACTACTATGTGTACACAAACTACTTTCAAACACACAAACAAAAAAAATTAAAGAGGTATCTTGCAATAAAACTATGGCAGCATGTTAGAGAACTATAATTTTTAAAAATACTAAAGTCATTGGGGGGGGGGGGGGGGGGCAAGTGTTAACAAGCTGTACCCCTTCAAAATTGATCTTTATTTCTTCTGAGAACCAAAGACACTGGCCAAGCACTGCTGCTGGCCACTGTCAGCGGACAAAACACAGCAAGTAAGGGGATGAACAGACTAAACTGTTATTCACCAGAACCTTCTGCGTTCGAACCAATTACAATTATACCCTCTCCTTTTCGATGGCAAGTATTATTTTCTTCGTATTACTAGCTCCCCTGAGCTCAACAGCTACATAATTTGCCAAAGAGATTCACCACAGAACGCTGCATCTACAGACCCAACATGCAGAAAAAACCCAAGCCCCTGGCTTCTTCAGTAACAGAAGAGCCAGAAAAACATACAAAGCATCGGAAAAACTGAAGCGTTTCGGCTAATGCACCCCGATTTTCCTATCCGAGGGTGTTAAGGCATAAGGCTCAGGCAAGCGGAGATGTTCGTGGGTGCCCAGCGGCACGGCCCCGCGTGGCACAGGTGCGTCTGCAACCACGGCAGCGCGCGCCCCCCAGGTACCGAGTTCTATACGTACATCTGCGTACGTATATATAGACACCTATATAGAGACACGTATCTATGCATACCCACGTGATATATATAGAAACAC